TATTTAACTTTAATGTTAATAATTATTTGTATTGGTGATAGATTTTTTAATAACAATAATAGTACAAAAAAGGATATTAGTTATCCAGAATTTATGAGTTCATCTAGTATAATAGAAAATAATGTCTAATAAAATATATAATTATTTTCCTTAAAAAAAGTTTTTATTTACTTGAATAAACTAACAGTTTGTGGTTTTAATCCCAAGTGTTAGAATTAATGCATGCAAAATATTATCAAAAATAAAAATAAAAATAAAAATAAGAAAAAAAGGTCAAATTGCAGTATAGCGGGCTTTCATTGTAATTGGCTGTTTTTTTGTAAATCATCCCGTGATATTGCGAAACATATTATACGAAGCTATAGAAATACATTTTAAAAAATTAATCCCTTAATTTTTCAAAACTTATATCTCGATGAATTTTGAATTCAAGAGCAAGCTAGTTCATATTTTCGTCTGACAATCTAAAAAAAAGGTATAAATAAAGATGAAATAACTTCACTCACTTTCTTAAAACAAAATAGATGATCGAATTTCCGCATCAGACTTTATAATTGTTAAAGTAATAAATATATCCTTGTCTGGAATAACTGATATGAGCTGCGTTCAGTCAATTGTGAATGCCTTGCAAAGACCTAATAGTGTAATTGTTTATGATGAATATGATGAACCAATGATCAGCATAGAAAAGATTAAAAAAGTCGTTGAGGATGCACTCCATATAAATACCTCCTACTTACTGAATTTTACAATTAACAATTTTTTTCGTAAATTAGGATTCTAGACAATAGAATTTGTTTATTAAAAATTCTGCCATGTTGATATTGTGTGTTTTTTTTTTATATATGATCGATTTTACTTATGCTTGTAAGAATAAAATATACTTATGTACAGTACGCGTTCCTTGTATAATTATAAACTAATGTAAATGCAAATATTTGTTTCTCTTTAAATCATATTGAATTTTCACATCTTGAATATGCTTTTATAATTTCTCTGTCTAAAGTTATCACACAAGACATTGCTACACAAACAACTAAATTTAAAGTTCTAGAGATAAACGTATTTGGTTCTACCACGTTTAAGGTATCTAATATACTAACAATATCTAAAAATGCGGCTAAAATAACCCGTATAATAAACCAGAAAAGAACTGCGTTAATAACCTTATCCGAGTTATTCAAGATAAAAGAATTAAAAAAATTATCTCTATGTAAGTATTTCCCTTTTAATAAAATTTGAAAAAATCGAAAAGCAACAAATATTTTGATAACAAAGTCAGCATTTATAAAGCCTAAAACTGTGATACGATTTTCATAAAATGCAGAATTGCATGTAACTTGGAATTCTTTACCAGAATTTAAGATGGTTCTTGGCTGAAGAAACAAAACCTGTGAGAACTAAAATGTTAAAATGCATATTAGAAATCCTGTTTTACGATATTTCATTATAATTACAGCATATTTGACACATTACTTGGAACAAAGTTCTTGTTAACAATTACATTATGCTTATCACGTTATCCAACATACGATTTTTATCGACTTGATTAATTTTTTTTAACCTCCATAGTAAGAAAGATGCTAAGGAAGTCCAGTGTATAAAGTCTACGATAGCAGTTATATATCCGAGAATTTTACAACTTCCAGAAGCTAAAAGATAGATGAAGTTAAGTGTATACTTTAGGCCACCAGTGAAGTTGAAAACCAATTTAAGAAAATATGTCGTCTGAATTTTTTTATAATATTGAATTAAAGTTACTGACGAGTTGTGATAAAATATCACAACTCCTAACCCAGACAAGAATGCAAAATACAAAAATTGGTCTAACTCTGATATTTTTTAAAATAACCTGCAATGATAATGAAATTTATATTAAATTTTATTAATATTTAATTAAAAATTGACGAATACAGTTTGTTTATACACATTCAAATTTTAAAAATATATATATATTTTTAGCTTGTCTCTATTGTATTTTACACGCGTCATTTTTTTTAATTCGTATCATCTATCTATGAATTGACATATATTATTTTTTAATCAATATTGATAATAATTATTTTATGATGACAATAATAAGTGTGATTATTGTTCAGCATTAACTGTTAACATTAAGGATTGTCAATTAAAAAATTTATGAGTCACATGAACTAGAGCCGAATAATTGAGATCTGATAATGAAGATATCTTCATGAAAACTAGGATCGAACAAACTTTTAAATATCTTCAATGCTGAATCGAGATAGACTATCGAGCCGAGTAATAAGGGAGAGTCTGGTATTCTGGCTCGGGAGGTAATGAAGTTTTTTTTTAATGTATCTTATAATACAATAACCAGGAACGAACGATTTTAGCGCCATTTAGAGATGTGAACTGAATATTGAATATTGAACAGATAATATATGAATTTAACTTTGAAAAATCCCTATTAAACCAAATTGAATTGTTGAATTAAATTTTTTAATTGATTTTTTAATAGAAATTTTGGTATATTTTTCATCAAAAAAATAAGTATTAACTGTATACTGAACATTATATTTTCAAATCTGTGATAATAATTTTTCACCTTTAAGTTGTCTTTGTTATCTGTTTGGAATGTATATCTAGACGATTTTTTGAAGCGAAATCATGAGAAATTGCCATCATGTCTCCGAGAGTTAAAAATTATATTCTCCCGTTTTTTAAAAGTGTATCACAATAATACAAGAAATCAGGTATTAATACATCAGATGTCATAACTGCTGTCGCACAGTTTTAACACATCCTAATACATGATATTAAATAGATTCTAATGCGCTAAATTATTATATAATCTGTCCAATTATGCGAAAAGATTTTTATGAATTTAATTTTGAAAAATATCTATTAAAAACAAGCTGAATTGTTGAATTGAATTTTTTTTTTATTTAAATTTCAACAATACTTTTGCACAAATTCTTGTTAAGTAAATAAATAGCGCTTTTTAAATAGATCACTCGAATTGTTTTAAAGTAATAAATTGCCTTCTAAACCTTTGTAGCAACCGCAATATCAGATTTAAATAAATCACATGACTAAAATGAATTGGACTGAAGAGATTAAACAATTTAAAAGAAATATAGAAATATTAAATCAGGAGTTAATTTTTAGGGAACAGATTATAGAAGGTTTGGAGGCCAATGTAAATAGGTTTGAATTAAAGTGCACTATATGTCTTGAATATATGTCAAATCCTTGTA